CTGTTCTCCACCAATGACTTAGGGACCCCTTTGTCAACAACTTTGCCTCAGGAACTCTCAGTAGTTTTGCCAAACCTTCCTTAGACTCCATGGCAGGCCAGGCTAGGGCACATCCACCCAGTCTTCCTTCTCCTTCCTTCACTCAGGCCAGACCTGTGCTGTGGTCTCATAGCATCCCCTGATCTTCCTGTTTCTTTCCCTGTAGACATTTCCTTAAAATCCGAGCACGTTCAACCCCTTCTTGGTGTCAACTTCTCAGAAGACTTGGACTTACCTCCTCTCCCCTTCTTGATTCATTGCACAGTGCCTCTCACAAAGTGCTTCCTTGGCTTCCCTCCCATCAACTCAGAATGGCAGGTGTAGGAACTGCTTTGTGCGTAGAGATATCTTGGAGAGCTAGAATGGGGTGAGAGGCTGAGCAGAGGCAGCGCCCTCTGACTCAGGCCATGGGGGAGGCATTCAAAGGACTACCTACTCATGGACACATGTTTGGACCAGAGCTGAGAACAGCAAGAGGAATTCTGCTATTTCTGTGTGCTAAGCACTGGGCTGAGACTTGAATTATTTCACTTAAACCTCACCACAGCTTGTGAGGCTGCTATCATTATATTTAACAGATGAAGAAAGCAAGGGAGGCTAATTTTGACCAAGGCCCTGGAACAAATGTACAAGTGGTGGAGGCATCCTTGAACTGCACCTATCTGACCCCCTTGTTCATGATCTCCACGAGCACACAAGTGGCAAAGGCAAGATCTGAAATGAGAGGAACGTGGAGCGGAAGGCTGCCAAGCCACAGCCTGGGGATGGCGCATTCCTGCTGGTGGGGTCAGCTTTATCTCAAGGATGGGGAGAGCCTGGGCTCTGGACGTGGGCCTTGGTGCCCACAAGCAAGGCAGGGGTTTGGGGGGCAGGGGACACCGAAAGGGAGGAGGGTGCAAAGAAGGAGGAGTTGGTGAGAAGGGGGAAGAGGCATCGGCAGGAGAATATTCAGTGTCATCCTGAATTAGATCATAAAAAGTAAGTGCTTTTTAAAAGCAATTTTGCTCGGTAGGGAATGTGCTGTCAAGCTGCATGGTGATTCAGAGGCTCTGTGCCTCACAGGCCCTGCCTGGGAGTCGGGGTGAGGACACCGCTGTGGGGGACAAAGGCCCCGCTTCTCTGTTGACTGCTAGAGGTTGACTTGACCCAGCCATGGCTGAATTCCAGCATGCACGTCTTGTCCTTAGTTCCTTACCCTCGGCGTGCTCAGCTCCTGGGGCAGGCGGGAGCACTTCCTAGGGTCAGACAGAGCCAGGCTCACATCCCAGTGGAACCATCAGTCCGAAGCTGTGTGACCACGCGCAGTCACTGAGCCTCTCTCTGCCTTCCTTCTACCCTCTGCACCCAGGAGTAATGCTGGTCCTTGGCACTAACCGTTGTGAAGACAAAATGAAATCATCACTATAGAGGGTCTGGCATGAAACAAATAGCTGAGAAACCAATCGTGGGCCCTCCGAGTGAAAGGAAAGGAAGTCCCGCCTCCTTCCAGACGTTGCTGCTCCTGCCCATCATCGACTTTCTCCTCCCTCTCCTTTCCTGGGATTCCCTTGTTGTGGAGCCAGCTGTGTGATGAGTTCCGGCCCACAGAATGGGGGCAGAAGTAATGGACTCCACCTCTGGGCTGGCCTTTCAAAACCTCCCTTGGGGGAGACCCCACCTTCCCTTTGCCTCTTGTGGGGACCTTGTGGAGACGGCAGTGGCAAAGATGGCTAGGGCCTGGTTGCCTGTGTGACTCCATGGAGCAGAGCCCTCACACCACCTCCAGGGATCCCCTGGCTGAGTGAGAGGAGGCAACGCATTGTGTCAAGCATTAGGAACTGCAGGTTGTGCATCTAAGCACTTAGTCTATCCTGACTTCAACACTCAGCCACACTATGGTGATTTGGGACCTGCCTGTGGCTTTAGACCATTTGGAAGTTTCAAGGACCGAGGAAGTGACAGCAGTCAGTCCTAAAAGCCCGTCTCAGCTCAGACATTCAAGCAGCTCCCTGCTCGCTACTGCACAGCTCAGACACGGACTGCCCCAGGGCCCCCTAGGAGCTTGCAGTGCCAGCAGTGCCCAGGAAGACCTCAGAGGGCCGCAGGCTTCCAGCCCTGGACCCCAAGCCCTAGGCCAGGCCGCAGGGACTCTGTAGTCCCCCACGGACTACAGAGGGAGAAGGTACAGGGGAGTGCAGGTCGCGAGAGTGGGCCAGCTCCTCTGTGTCTGTGCCAGTGCGTGGCAGCCATGGCTACGTGGCTGTGCAAATATTTATTGGTAAATGTTCTCCCTCACCAGCCGTTGAAGATGTAGTTAGGGAGAGCTGCAAGTGAGCTCTGTGTTTCTGGGTCAGCAGCCCACGCCCCAGTCTGAAGACCCTGCAGCAGGGGGGGTCCCAGGCCCCTTCGTTCTGTCTCCCCCTCTCCTACCCTGTTTCCTGCGCTCTCTCTCTCTCTCCTCCCTCCTTCTCTGCCCCTCACCTCCTTTCCTGTCCCGCTCTCTCCCCATCTGTCCCTGCCTTCTCATTCCCCCACCTTACCAAGCATTGACCAGGGAATGTCAATGGTCGTACCAGGGAGACTGTCAGAGGAGGAGGGGCCTACCCAGCAACCATCTCTGTCCCCTGAAGAGCAGGAAAAGGGAAAGAAAGAAGGGAGGAAGCAAAGTAGGGGAGAGGAGTAGAGAGGAGGAATAAGAGAGGGCAGGCAGGAGGCAGGGAGGAAGAGGGGGATTGCACTGGGCCCCTGCAATGTGACTGCCACATGCTGTTCTCTTAGAACTAGAAGGGCCTGCGTTCAGATTCTACTTAAGCCAATTACCAAGTTATACAGTCTTTTAAATCTCTGTTTAGGCTTCTTTAAATGGGGATATTACTCGCAAGCTGTTAGTGAGGGGAGGATTGAATGAGATGCTGTAGGTAGAGCATCCCATAGCAAGTGCATAGTGAAGGGCAGGTATTGGCTTTGACCTTGTCCCCACTCTGGCCCCATCAGTCTTCCCCCAGTAGACTGTCTCTCTTCCACGTTTCCTCCTGGAGAGGCTCTTGAACAGGCAAGGCTGAGGCGAGGCAGCCATGGACAAAAGGAGAGTGGTTTCGGTGCTCCCACGGGTGTTCCCAGCTGGAATGTGATGTGAGCATGGAACCTCAGTTACACTGGGCTGCAGAGGCAGTGTGGCCAGATGGTTACGGCACAGACCGTGAGGCCAAACTGCTAGGGTTTGAATCTTACTGCTGCCACTTAGATGCTCCTTGATAAGTTACTTCATCTCTCTGTGCCCTTGTGCCCTCATGTGCAAATTAGGAATAATGATAATGAGGCTTTCCACATGTTCCCTGGCCACAGTGAGCACGGTGCAGGTGACAGTCCTTGTCTACAGCCTCGGAAGAAACCAGAGCAATGCTGCTGCTCTTGTTGGGGCTGTAGATAGAATAGAGACAGCATGCACCCAACACCCTGTACCCTTCTGGACCATGTTTAAAGTATTTGGCACCCAAGACCAGACAGACCTGAGCTACCTCCCAGGTTTACAGAGACTTCTTTCCTGGGTCCAGCCTCCCAGGGAACTTCACCATTGGCCTGCAAACCCCTGTGTCTGAAGGTGGGCCACAGGGTGGCTACTGAAGATGTGGTGGAGGTGTAAATGGAGCTTGAACCTAAAAGCTGGGACTCCATGTCTGTACACGAGCCCCTGGAGGTATGGGCTAGAGCAGGTTGGTGGGGAACCTCCACCTATGCTTCATGCTTTGCCAATTTTAGGAGAGAGCCTGCATTAAGGTTTCAGCATCCATCTCTAGCTATCCAACCTCTAGTGGCAATTTGGCTGATGATAGTCCTCAAAGGACAGTGGAACTAGTATGGGTGAACAGATGGCCAAAGACCAGCCAACCTGCATGGATTCCTTGACAGTCCTAATGGTGAGGATTTCATGTGGGGTTCCAGGAATAAAGATGTCAGAGATTCAAGATTCCAGACCACAGGGCTGAACTCAGCTCCCCCAGCTTTGGGAGACAAATGCCTGAGACCTGGGCTCCAAAGCTCAAACTGTCAGATCCCCAAAGGTAGCCTGGTTGTCAAAGAGTCTGGATTGCAAGAAGCAGACTCCATCAGGAGTCCTCAAATCTTGCAGAGTTTGTGGCGAGGATGTACACGGGAGTAAGAAAAGGAGAATGCCAGCCACCGAGCCGGGTTTGCAAGGTGCTCGGGAGAAGCTGAGGGGGCAGGCTCAGGAGGGAGCCAACCCCAAGGTGAGCCAGGCCTGGGGAGGAGAGGGCAGACGGCTCTTCAGATGTGAGGGTTCTGGGTCTGAGCAGCGGTAGAAAAGCATGCTATCGTGTCTCTGTTCTTCTCCATGTGTTGCCCTCTCCATGCCTGTCCACTTCTCTGCCTCCCTCACCTGGTTCCCTCACTCTCTGCTCTATGTAGCTTCTCTCTGGCTCATGGCTTCTGTGTTCTCAGAGCTGTGGCCCACCCCTTGCACTCCTCTACCCAGTCTCTGTTTACCTTGTGACTCTTAAGTCTCTGTGCTCACTGCTAACTGCTCTGTTCTTTTCATGTTGCTCAAGCCATTAATCTTTGGAGAGAAATTTCCATGACAGGCCAACTCATTGGCCAATGGCCAGTCTGGATTGCGTACTCCCGAGTCAGATGCCTATTACTCACTCAGCTGTGGTCAACTTAATGTGGTCATTCTGTGATCCAGAATATGGCTGTAAGAGCAGGTTCCCTGTGACAGGGACAATAGGCATAGCAAATGCCATAACAGATCTGTTTACAACAGTGAGGGAGGGAGTCTGGGGTCATGAACCCTTCCCAGGGTTCACTCACCTGACTGCCTGCCTGTTCTGCTCTCTGTCTTTTAGACCCCCCCACCCAGGCTCACCCTAGGGCGGGGGAGCAGGGCTGTCTACAAGTAGGCACCCAGGAGGATGTGTGATCCACACAAGGTCTGAATCTCTTTCCCTGTTCCCTTCTCTTCCTAGCTTTTCCAATAGCTTCCGGATGAAAGTACTCAAGTTGACTTAACTTCTTCTATAAATAGCAAAATCAGCAATGCTCCAGCAAATAATTGATGAGTAACTTCTGTAGTGAAGCCATTCTGCTAAACAGTGGAATCTCGTCTGAAGCCGGTGGAAACCAGAGCATGAGAATATTAAACACAAATTATGTTTTATTATTCACTTTCATATACATCTCATTTGATCTTATCAACACCATGGCAGAATCAGTAGGCAAGGTATTACCATTGTACTAAATTGATGGATGAAGAAACTGAAGTTCAGAGAGGCCCAGTGACCCACCTGGGACTACAAGGGAGAGTAGAGGACTCAGTATTAGACCTTGTTTGTAGCACCTCCCCCCTGGGACTCCAGATCATCCCTTGTAATGTGGAACGAGAACCATTTCATACCCAGGATATTTTTCTGTGTTGTCTGTATCCTCAGACACATGCTTGTCACTGACACTCCTGGTTTTGTAACAGGATACCATCTCTTCTTCAATGCATGTGGTGCCAGAGATACCTTCCTCCAGCGCTAACTTCCCAGGCTGGGCTGGGAAGAAATTGTTTAGGCCACTCAGATCTGTTGCTGTTACAAAATACCTGACACCTTAGTTAGTTAATTGATATTTTAAAAGGGACTTATTTCTGAACTTCACAGTTCCTCTGGCTGAGGTGAGTATTATTGTCCCATTCTCTGTGCTCAGGGCAGCACCCCCAAACCAGAAAGGAAGGCCCACACACAGCAGCCGGAAGGACACACTATCGGGTTCTCTCCACGCTCTTGCCAACATCTAAATCCTCAGTCCCCGCCCCGTGAGCCATTCTAGTAGCAGGGGGAGGGGGAGCGTCGTGTTTTCAGACAGCTAGGGAGCTGATGTCTCACCTCGGGAACCCCCTAGCTCACAAGCACACACAAACACCCAGAAACCCACAAAGAGGAGTTCCGCACCCTTTCCCCCTTAATAACAACAGAGCTACAGAGAGACCAGGAGAGACGCAGAGGTCGTCCAGTGTGCACTGCCCCAGTGCCTGCCGCCCAGAGCTCCAGAGCTGCCAGGACATTTCATCAATGGATGAAGGCCCCCAGGGCAGGGGGAGCTGCCCTCATGGGCGGGGCCAGGGTCCCCATGCCCTGCACCCCAGAGGAGCTGATGTCAGGGGACAATGGCTGCCTCCCTCTGTCCCTGTGTCCCTCAGCCAGAGTGCCAAGGGCTGGGCCCACCCAGGGCAGGAAGTAGTGAGAGGGAGGTGGGGATGGAGGAGGGTGGGGCCCGCGTCTCCCACCAGTCACCGGGAGTGGCTGCTTTTAAAAAAAAAAAAATTTTTTTTATTTGAAAGATAGTGTTACAGAGAGAAGGATAGACAGAGAAAGATTGCCCATCTACTGGTTTACTCCCCAAACAGTCGCAACAGCCAGGGTGGTGCCAGGTTGAAGCCAGGAGTCTAGAACTGCACTTGGATCTGTGACATGGGTGGCAGGGGCGCAAGCAGTGGACCATCTTCTGCTGTTTTCCTAGCTGCAGTAGCAGGGAGCTGGATGGGAAGTGGAGCAGCCAGGAGGTCAACAGGTGCTCATATGGGATGCTGGCGTTACAGGTGGCAGCTTAACTCACAATGCCGACCCCTGAGTCACCTTTTTTTTTTTTTAAGATTTATTTATTTATTTGAAAGGTAGAGCAACTAAGAGAGAGCTCCCTCTATCAATGTACTTCCCAAATGACTGCAATATTCAGGACTGGGCTGAACAGAAGTCAGGAGTCATGAACTCCATCCAGGTCTCCCATATGGGTGGCAGGAGCCCAAGCACTTGGGCCACCCTCTGCTGCTTTTCCAGGCACATCAGCAAAATGCTGGATCAGAAGTAGAGCAGCTGGGACTCTGATACAGGATGCCAGTTATGCAGGCAGTGCTAAGGGGTGCTTTTTATAAGTGAGACTGGCAAAGCTTCAGGTAGACTCAGAACGAGAGGACTCTCGGACTGTTCTCAGCATGACCTTGAAGGAATCCAGTTCTTCTCCCTTTCTCAAGAATAACTAGAATGTATTGGGAATGCAATATCCTGATGGAGAAGCTGCCCAAGACAGCCAGGCCCTTGTTCTCTGCCATAACTCCCTCCCCCCGCCAAGGAATAGAACATCTTGAATTAGGGAAGAACCATCCAGGTTTTTTTTCTTGCTCTTGCCTGGAAGCAGAAGTGCTTCAAAGCATGCCCAGGGCACTTGAGATCCGTCACCTCCAGCAGGCTGCTTTTCAGGGGCCCTTAGATATGGTGTACATGGTGCACAGGAAGTCGAGGCTTCACCTGCCTTGGCCTGGAGGACCATCTCACCCTGGAGCCTAGACGGCTTTAGTCCCTTGATATCCACCTGTAAGTAATACATGTGCTTCATATACCTGTGGGTGTGGGTGTGGGTGTGGCCTGTACCAAACTCCGGCAAATGGTAATTGGTCAGCCTGCCTCACACTGAATCCGCGAACACCGGAGATGAGAGAGAAGTCATTACAAGAGCTACCATAGAAACACAGGAGATCGTAATAGACGGCCATTAGCAATTACAGGCCAGTGACTTGGATAAGCTAAAAGTGGACAGGTTCCTAGAAACGTGCAAACCACCCCAGGTAAATCATGAATAAATAGAAAACATTACCATGGCAGTTATGAGTAAGGATGTTAAAGCAGTGATCAGAAACTCAACAAAGAAATATCCAGGACCAGACGGCTTCCGTAGTGAGTTCTGCCAAGCTTTTCAAGAATGAAATGCCAATTCTTCCCAACCTGTCCCCCAGAATTGGAGAGGGAACGCTTCCAAACTAATTTTGCAAAGCTAGCATTACCATGATACAAAAGCCAGACAAGAATACCACAAAGAAAACAATTAAGGCTAGTATTCTTTTATGAACATAGATGAAAAAAATCTTCAATGAAATGTGAAAAAAATTTAATTCAACAGCACATTTAAAAGACCGTATACCATGATCAATTAGAATTCGTCCCTGGGATAATAACAACATATGGAAACCGTTAGTGTGATACTCTATATCCACAGAATAAAGGTCAAAGTCATATGATCATCTCAGTAGGGGCAAAAGTATTTGATAAAGTTTAATGTTCACTTTAAACACACTCAGAAAACTGGGCATAGAAGAAATGGTAACAATATAATAAAGGCCGTATATGCCAAGCCCACAGCCAACATCATACTGATGTAAAGGTGACCTGCTCTGATCACTTCTAGTCAATATAGGACTGGAAGTTGTAGAACAGTTAGCGAATGAAAAAAATCATAGGCACCCAGATTGGAAAGGAAGTTAAATTGCCTCCAGTTGCACATGACATGACATGATTAAATACCTAGCTATCCCTAAAAATTCTACCAAATACTGAGAAGTAAAAAATTCAGTAAAGTTACAAAAAGTCACATCAACACACCAGAACCAGTTGATTTTTTTTTTTTTTTTTTTTTTGGACAGGCAGAGCAGACAGAGAGAAAGGTCTTCCTTTGCCGTTGGTTCACCCCCCAATGGCCGCTGCAGCCAGCATGCTGTGCCGATCCGAATCCAGGAGCCAGGTGCTTCTCCTGGTCTCCCATGTGGGTGCAGGTCCCAAGCACTTGGGCCATCCTCCACTGCACTCCCGGGCCACAGCAGAGAGCTGGACTGGAAGTGGAGCAAGCGGGACAGAATCCGGCGCCCCAACCCGGACTAGAACCTGGGGTGCCAGTGCCGCAGGCAGAGGATTAGCTCCTGTCCTGGCCTCCCTGAGACCCTCAGGGTGGGGCCGTGGCCCAGAATCCCAAGCAAGGGGCGGAGATGACAGAGGGGCCCAGTGTTGGAGGCTCCCAGCCACCAGGAACTGCTTATGAAAAAGAATAAATTGTCCATGGGAAAGAGAATGGCAGAAGAGTACATAAAAATTCTTCACATATAAATCAGAAGAGTGCAAGGTGGAACACAGTGCATGTGTGTGTGCGTCAGCATGTGTGTGAGCACGTGTGTGTATACAGTTGTGTCTGCATATGTGTGTGTGACATCTGTGCAAGTGGGTGTCAGTGCACGTGCCGTCCACAGGGGACAACGCTTGGACTCTGATTATTTTGCTGTGGGGAAGGGGGCTACTTGAGACCCTGGGTGGAGATCTGCAGCTCAGCAGGACCCAGGGACCTGCAAGACTGAGGCGAGGCTGCTGAGGGATGCAGAGGCCTGGAGCCTTGGGCTGGGCCCGGCCTGGCTGAAGCCGTCCAGGAGCCAGCAGTCCCTCCACATCTCTTCGGGCCCAAAGGCTTGGTCTGCTCTCCTCCTCTGGCTGCTCCCATCAGCTGGGCTCACAGAGATGCCACTCCATGTGCCTTAGGGGAAGTCCTGGGGACCTGCCAGCAAGGAGGTGCTCCAGGTAGACTCCAGGTGGGAAGGTACAATGAGACCACTTCGGGAACCTGCATGGTGGCGTAGTGGGTAACTCCCTTGTGGGCGCTGGTTCGTGTCCCAGTTACTCCACTTCCAATGCAGCCCGGTGCTGATGCACCTGAGGAAGCAGAGGAGATGACCTAAGTGTCAGGCTCGGCCCTGGCTGTTGTGGCCATCTAGGGAGTGAAGCCGTGGACGGAGCATGTCTCTTTCTCTCTGTCTCCCTCTCCCTCTCTGTGGAACTTGCCTATTAAGTAAGTGTCTTTTAAAATAAACAAATAAATAAATAGCCAGTGCCAGGATTCTGTAGTAGCGGCAGAATTTAGTGCATTAGGAAATCCCTGGTTTCCTTTCTCCCCTTTTCCTCTCTGCACCATTGCCGGGTGTCAATGCCCAGAACCTCCTGCCTGTCCTGCACCCAGGTGTCTTCCCTTCCTCCTCAGGGGCTCAACAGAGGCAGCGCCCGCCTGCCCCCATTGTCCCCACCTGGTCCAAGCCCTCACCAGGACAGCTGCCCCCATAGCTCCTGCAGCAGGTGCACGCCTCCCTCCCCCCACTGCCCCTCCCATCCTGACTGCTCCCGGGTGCTTCTCTGATCTCCCCTCTCCCCAACTAAGAACCCAGCAGAGGCTTCCAGGGCTGTCAGGGGAAATGCGAACTCCTAAGTCAGCTCCAAGCCCTCCCTCCCCTATGCTCACACCCCAACATCTGGCCTCCTGGACTCCTCCTGCTGCGTGCCATCATCCCCTGTGTAGGCATCAGCCAGTGAGCACCCTTGTATGGGACTCCAGGGGAGACGCAGAGAAAGCAGAAGGCTGGGGCGTGGCCCACAGGAGACCAGGACCAGCACAGGTGAAAAACAAGCTCCCCAAGAGCCCCACCCTGCAGAGACTCACACAGGCTGTGAGGATGGTGCTTGGACCACCCCAGAGACGCCACATTCCTCATCCATGTCCACTGAGCAGCGGCAGCCCAGCACCGCTCCTGACATCCAAATGCCTTGTGGGACACCGTGCACAGCGTTCTCTCCACCTCCAACACTGGGCCCCTCGGTTGCCCCTGCCCCTTGCTTGGGATTCTGGGCCATGGCCCTGCCCTGAGGGTCTCAGGGAGGCCAGGACAGGAGCCACGCCCAGTGTCTGGTGGGAGACGCCGGCCCCACCCTCCACAATCCCCACCTCCCTGTGTGTGTGACGCGAGCACCTGCTGGAGCCCACACAGCCCAGTTCTGTGCACAGAGCATCCATGTAACCTCAGATCTGGAAGAAAGCTCCTTCACTAAACACAGCTTACCTGCCCCAGAAATGTGGAAGTGAGGAAGACCGGGGTGGGGGAGGTCCCATCCTCCAGTGTCCCCAGGTGGGGCAGAGGGTCCTGTCCTCTCCAGTAGGTCTCAAGCCTTTCTTTCAGTTCCCTGGGAACTTGGAAGGCCTGGGTGCTGCCAAGGGCCTCCTGAACTAAAACCAGGTCCTCGTCCTGCCCGCGTCCTCTGTTGCATTTGGGCCTCACCGTGGGCAGGCCGGGCACACAGCACAGCGTGGACGTCCTGCCCGGCTCCACCTGCAGCTGTTGGACTGCAGAGTCGGTGGATCCCGTACCCCATGAGGTCAGGTGCATGGCCCTCAGGGGAACGGGGTCGTGTTCTCCCTTGACAACGCAGGAGGTGTTGGATAGGACACTGACAGCTCTGTTGCAATGCACAGCTCTGTGGACTGGGACCTCCCTGCTGTGCCAGAGACCTCAGACCCCAACCCTCGTGTGCCTGTGCCATGTGGACGAGTGACTCCCCCTCCCTCCCTGTCTCCCGCCCAGCCTCTGGGAGGCATCACTCTATGCTCTGCTTCTGTGAGGTCACCCCTTCTGTGACCCCCACAACGGGTGTGATCGCCCAGTGTTGGTCTTTCCATGAGAAAGACAGTACCGCCCATACTTCCATCACCTCCCCACGGTGCACACAGGGACCCAAACATCACACGGGACCAAAGCCACGCACAAAGGTGAACTTTATTCATGAGAAGCATTTGCAAATGCTCAAGAAAAACGTTCAGTCAGCTCAGCCTGCGCATTGCTCCTGGTGACGGGGGCGGAGCGAGGCTACTTGGGGGCCACTCTGCAGCAGCGGAGGCCAGGGCCGCTCCCTCTGGACGGCAGGATGCGGCACGCCCTCAGCAGGAACCGGAGGATCCTCCTGCCGACCCCGCGCCGGCCCTGCCTCTTGCCCTGGGCGCTGGCTGTGCAGTCTGTGGTGGCAGCGGCAGCTGCGGTGGCAGCGGTGGCTGCAGTCCCAGCCGCCTCAGGCTCACGGGCAGCTGCGGCGGCTTCTGGCTCTGCGAGGTCCACGCGGCTCCTGGCACTGGGGCTGGAGGGCGACGCCTTGGAGGATGGCTCAGGGGCTGCGCTGGGAGCAGGGCTCCTCTCCTGCTGTGGCTGGCCTGGTTAGGTGAGTCAAGAAGGGGTCACGAAGGAGGCCTAGGGCTCAGCCAAAGAGTACCCGAGAAGGCTGGGGCTGGGAGGGAGAGGGGAAGACTCACTGGAGGGCTCGGAGGAGTCGGGGGCTGCGCTGGGAGCAGGGCTCCTCTCCTGCGGTGGCTGGCCTGGTAGGAGAGAGTCAAGAGTGGGGTCACCTCAGGGCCTTGAGCTCAGCCACAAGAGTACCCGAGAAGGCTGGGGCTGGGAGGGAGAGGGGAAGACTCACTGGAGGGCTCGGAGGAGTCGGGGGCGGCGCTGGGAGCAGGGCTCCTCTCCTGCTGTGGCTGGCCTGGTAGGAGAGAGTCAAGGGTGGGGTCACCTCGGGGCCTTGGACTCAGCTCCTGGAGGGCCCAAGGCAGGAGGGGCTGGGAAGGGAGAGGGCAAGACTCACTGGGGGCCTCGGAGGAGTCGCTTTGTGCGGAGGAAATGCAGCCAACAGCCATGCTGTCAGGGGACACCGACACCAGAGCCAAGCCGTCGTCCTCTACGGGGGGGCGCTTGCTGCTCTGCTTGGACTCGGGCAGGGACGCGGGGTCCTGGGGCTGAGGGCCTGGCGTCCCCTCGGTCCCCGTGCCTGGCAGCAGCCCGAGGCCCACCAGGTACTCCCTGGCCTCTGGGTCCCGGGGAACGCCCAGGGGCTGCAGCAGGGTGACCGCGTCCTCCTTGTGCCCCTGGGCGGCTTCTCGGCCGGGGCTGAACCACCAGTGGGTCCTGGCGTCCTCCGCACTGGGCCTCCCCGAGGCATCGACCGTGAGCAGCCACGCCAGCAGCTCCTGCAGGGCCGGGCTGACGCCACGTGGCACCACATAGACGCCACACAGCACCTGGTCCTGCAGCTTGTGCATGTTCTTGCCGTGGAAGGGCACCGTGGCCACCAGCATGGCAAACAGCACCACCCCCAGACTCCACACGTCGGCCTTGAAAGCGTCGTAGTCCTCCCCGAGGAAAACCTCTGGTGCGCAGTACTTGGGGGTCCCCCAGAAGCCCCTTACCAGCGTGCCCCGCTCCAGCCGCAGGCTCAGCCCGAAGTCCGCCAGCTTGATGGTCATGTGCTCATCCAGCAGCAGGTTGCCCAGCTTGAGGTCCCGGTGCGCCACGCGCTGGCCATGGCAGTAGCTGACGGCGGCCAGCGCCTGGCCAAACAGGGCCCTGGCCTCGTCCTCGGCCAGGCCGCCCTGCCGCCGCACGTAGTGCTGGAGCGAGCCCCTGGTCGCCAGCTCCATGACCAGGAACAGGTGCTTCCTCGTGTGTCGCTCCTCCAGCAGCCGCACGATGTTGTCGTGCCGCAGGCTCCTCAGGATGGCCGCTTCCCCATGCGCAGACAGCGGGCTGCTGGGAGAGGCGTCTCGCAGGATCTTCACTGCCACGTACTTGCCCGACGCCAGGTGCCGGGCCAGCTTCACCAGGCTGAAGCCACCCCGGCCGATCACATCCACAAAGTGGTACCCGTCCAGAGGAGGATGGACGTCCAAGGTGCGGCCCTTCATGCCGCCGGTCACCTAACTACGCTCTCTCGACTCCCTAACCCGCTCGACACACGCTAGCTAATCACCGACCCTCACTGCACTGCCTACAACACAAAGGGACCACGGGGGCCTGACTGCCCAGCTGACTAAGACACAGCACCAGCTACTCTCACTGCTCTAGAGGCGAAGCCGCAAGACTACCTCAATAAAGGAGAAAACAACAAAGAGGAAAAGCCACTAAAGCCTCGAACGCTGATACTTCTGAGCGTGCTAGCTGACTAGAGTGGGGGAAGCAAAAATAAAGAAAACTGCAAAAAAAGGCCAAATGGGCAAAACAACAACGAGGAGGAAAACAACAAACTAAACAAAACGGGAAAAAGCAAAAACCAAACAGACCCAGAAACAAACAACCAAGAAAACGCACAAGCAACACCGAGCGCAACGGCTGGTTAGATGGGTCCTAGTTACACAGATCACAAAAGAGTGCTCTCTGGGTAAGGCGGACGAAAACCCAGGCCCCGCAGCGGCTATATATACTTTTGGGGGCTCACCTCACATAGTGGCGCCTTATGAAGTCAGAGCGAGAAACGGACCAATCCCAGCCCAGCCAGGGGCTCTGTAATAATACGACTTTCCTAACAGTGAGGCATTATGAAGTCAGAGCAAGAAACTGACCAATCACGGCTGCAGATAATTCACGGGGGGTTTCGCAGGAATTTTATAATTAAATTAAAAAGATACCCTAAAAGATTTTGCCTTTGATGGGTGATAGGGATTGATACTTCATTTTTGAGAAATTCAAACAAGTATGGTGCTTCGGTGGTCTTGTCTTTTCTAGTGTAAAAGGTGATAATAATGTGTGTCTTTCGAAGACCTCCTAGTGTCTCCACTTAGTATATCCCCTCCTTTGCCTTTACCCTCTGAGTGATGGGTCTCTGAGTGATGGAACAACTTCTCTGGCCTCGGTAAACTCAACACGTGTTCTGTTGCCCAAGACACCGTGGCCAGGTACACTGTCCGCATCTCCAGAGCTGAGAGGAAGGTGGCTTTGTCACCCTTTCCCCCTAAGTCATGGTCAGATTTCTCGGCAGAAACCCCGAAGCCCAGAAGGCAGTGCGGTCCGTGCAGTCCAAACAGGGAAGGCCCAGTCAGTGGCAGCCGAGAAAGCTACATCCTCCGAGACTGTCCTCCGCCTGGTAGGGAGGACTCGAGGCTCTGCCAGGCACTTGGGGTTCTGGGCTCCTGTCACAACAACCACCAAAACTCCTGGCTCCCACCTTCAGCCTGGCCTAGTCCTGGAGGTCATTTGTGGGCTGTAGCAGAGCATGGAGGAGTTCCCCCCTCCCTCACTAGCACTCTCTTTTCCCCTCTTCACGCTCACACAAATAGAATACAACTTAGAAAAAAGAAATGAGACTCCCTGCTTCAACTCCTCAGGACCTGCACAGCCCAGAAATGACGAGACTTGGCCGCATCACAGCCTCGGATCTGTCTCCTTGGGACAGCCTCGTGCTGAGCCCTCAGGACCAGTGTTTCTCCCGAGGAAGCCACAACCTCCTCTCAGGTAGGAAATGAGCCTGGGAACCCCCGCCCCACACAGCAGGTGGAGCGGTGTCTCCTGCAGTTCTTGAGGAGCCCTCCAGGGCCCAGCACAGCCGTGGGCCCAGGAACACGTGGTGGTCCCTCTGCACCAACTGCCCAAGCTCTCTTGGGAGAGGAACCCTCCCTGGGGAGATGACCCCTCCTCCGGTTGCCCAGGGACATTGCACGGTGCGATTACTCTGTGATTTCCTGCAGTGCTGGTCCCTGCCTCAAGCCTGGGAGGAAAGAACCAGCACCCCAGGAATTCTCACTACAGTTTCATTACTTAAGCCAAAAAAATTAAAGTATGATGACTCTTGTTACTGTTTTCCATTAAGTAAAGGTAATACCCGTCTTTCTTATATGGTTTTTTTCTTTATTCTTTCATTGATTGATTGATTGATTTGAAAGGCAGAGTTACACAGGATCAGAAGTGCAGAGAATGAGAGAGGTCCTCCATCTGCTGGTCCACTCCCCAAATGGCCACAAGTGCCGTGCTGTGCTGATCCAGGAGCCAGGAGCTGCTTCTAGGTCTCCCTCATGGAGATAGGGATCCCAGGACTTGGGCCATCTTGTACTGTTTTCCCAGGCCATAGCAGAGTGCTAGATAGGAAGTGGAGCAGCCAGGGCTCGAACCAGTGCCCATAGGTGATGCCTATACCCTGGGCTGTGTCTTTACCTGTTACTCCGCAGCACTGGCCCCAAAATTTTCACTTTTCTATGGCAGATAAATAAAGATGAAACACAGGGTACTTCCTAAACTTCACCACAAAAATAGAATTCATTTTTTATTTAGGTCCAAACCAGTTTTGAAACTTGATAGTTATTACTTAGCAAACTTTTACCATGAAGTTTGGCACCAAACCGTCATATCCTTTAATTCCGTTTCCTTGAAGTTTTCCAAGTCCCTTCAAGTAGCACAGCCCTAGAAATGCTGAGTTCCCATCCGGACTGCAAAGCCGCGGCTGTAAGGACGAGAGACACCCCCAGCTCTCATTCTCATTGCTCCTCCCCAGTGCTGGTGGGAGCCTTGCACACCCACCTGGTTCTAGAAAATCCATCTCCCCCGAGGTATGTGATGGCCCCGAGACTCTGTGTCCCCCAGCTCTGCTCAGCAGTAGCCTCAACATGCTGCTAAAGTCCTATCTTGTCCACGCTAGACTAAAATGAGGGGGTGGAATCTCCGTGGGCTCTTAGTGTCAATCCCAAAGGAAGCGCCTAGGAAAATGTGTTCCTTAGACTTTATTTCATTTTTAAATTTTATTTATTTGAATGGCAGTGTAACAGAAAGTGGGCAACAAATGCACACACACACACACACAAAAGAGACAAAGAAATCTTCCATCCGTGGTTCACCTGCCACAGCCCACACAAATGGCTACCATGGCTGGACTAGGCCCGTCTGAAGGCAGGCACCCAAACTCCAGCCAGGTCTCCCCAGCAGGTGGCAATGTCCCAGGTAGTTGGCCATCTTCCTCTGCCTTCCCAGGCACATTAGCAGGGAGCTGGATCAGAAGCAGAGCAGCTAGGACCCAAGCCAGCCTCCTAATATGGGATGCCAGTGTCACAGGCGGCAGCTTTACTGCTATGCCACAGCGCTGGAGCCCAGGCTTCTTTTAAGATTTATTTATTTAAAAAGTCAAGTGATCTTCTATTCTCTGCGTACTCCCCCCTTGGCCGCAATGGCCAGGTGGGCTGGTTTGAGCCAGGAGCCTGTGGGGCTGGCACTGTGGTATAATGGGTTAAGCCAGTGGTGCAGTGCTGGCATCCATATGGGTGCTGGTTTGAGTCTCAGCTGCTTCACCCCCGATCCAGCTCCCTGCTAATGGGCCTGGGAAAGCTTCCGAAGATGACCCAAATGTTTAGGCTGCTTCTCCCATGTAGCAGACCTGATAGAAACTCCTGGTTCAGGGCTTCAGCCTGGCATAGCCCTGGCCATCGTGGCTATTTGGGAAGTGAGCCAGAAGATGGAAGACCTCTGTGTGTGTGTGTGTGCGTGTGTGCTTCTGTCCCTCTCTTCCTCCCTCCCTCTCTGTAACTCTGCCTTTCAAATCAATAAGGTAAATTATTTCATAAAGGCTAGAACTAATGCAGGTCTCTCACGGGGGTGGCAGGGGACAGTTCTGGGGCCATCTTCTGCTGGTTTCTCAGGAAGTGCTTACATTGGGAGCTGGCTCGGAGCCAGGGCTTGAACAGGCACTTGAATTATGGGATGCTGGCATCATAAGCAGTGTCTTAGCCTGCTGTGCCATACACCAGCCCCCAAGAACCAAGGTTTCTTTCCTGCTCCAAATATAGTATCCATATCAGCTCCAAATGTAGTGTCGGGTTCTGTTCGTCCTCAGAGAGGTGTCACAAACATTTTGTCACACTTGGTGTCACTGGGTGCGGTGATAAATAATCTGCTCGTGTGTTGAACGTGTTTTATGAACTATTGGAAGCCCTCGTGCCCTGCTAAAGTCTGCTGGGGACCATGTACTAACGGGGCAGACATGCAGAACCAGTGACAGCCAGGTTACTCATCACCAGAGAGAGTCTACACAATGTCGCTTTAGCTGGGCAGCCAGACACGAAACCCCACCCTCACCCATGGCCAGGAAGGGCAGGGGACACAGGCACAGCCCCTGGGTGGCCACCCCTGGTCACAGTGCCTGAGCTGGATGAGCTCATAATGCAGGTGGCGTCCATGCCAGGGCTCTGCCGGGCAGGAGGCGCAGGTACAGGAAGAGTTCTCTCTCCTGGAGGGCTTCCAGTGGGGGCTGTGAATGCCAGGATGGTGGGAGCCCTCTCTCCTGGAAAGACAGCCTGTGTCTGAGATGGAGTCCAAGGGACAGAGAGGTGAGAGAAGGGGCTGGGATTGGGGCAGAGAGAGGGAGAATGAGTGAATGTGGCTGATCCTGTCCTGGAGATCTGGATCCCAGTTCTAATGCAGGTTTACCATGGCACCCTCATATCCCATGAGATCCCTCAGTGTCTGCGGATCTTTTCCAGCCCACAAGTAGTAGGTTGTCTTTCTTTTGTTCTTATTCTCTCTGCTGTCTTACTGTCCCTTACACTGGTTTTTTGAGAGCAGTCTGGATAATGTGAGTTCTGGATAATGCATGAGCTCATGAGCTGACATCAATTGTGCCTCCAGAACGGACGTGAAGCTGCCTCTGCAGACTGCTCCCTGGACTCCCTGGCCCAGGGGCAGGCTGCCCCACCCCTCAGACACCTGCGGCTGCTTCTAACCTTGGGCTGTGTGGGTCCAGTTCCCAGCCCTTGGGACACTGCCCCGCACGCTTATGTGCCGTCTCGTGTCCCCGCAGCACGGGTCTGCACACCTGGAACTATTTACCTGCTTCTCCCCTAGGATTGTGTGCTCATGGGGACATGGGGGTTCCCCAAAAGCCTGTGCATGGGGGGAGTTAAGCTTGGTCCATATTTTTTTTAATCCATGCATAATTTTTTCGTAATACACTTTTTTAAAAAGGTTTTTTTTTTTTTTACAGGAAGAGTTAGTGAGAGAGAAAGAGACAGAGAGAAAGGTCTTCTTTTTTCCATTGGTTCAACCCCCAAGTGGCTGCTACGGCTGGTGCGTTGTGGCCAGCACGCTGCGCTTATCTGAAGACAGGAGCCAGGTGCTTCCTCCTGGTCTCACATGCGGGTGCAGGGCCCAAGGACCTGAGCCATCCTCCACTGCCCTCCCGGGCCACAGCAGAGAGCTGGACAGGAAGAGGAGCAGCCAGGACTCGAACCTGACACCCATATGGGATGCCAGCGCCGCAGGCGGACAATTAACCAAATGCACCACATCACCAGCTCCAAGCTGCACATGCCAGGAAGCTGGAATCAGAAGCAGAGCTCAAATTTGAATCCCAACACGCAGATGAGGGTTGGGAGTATCCTAAGTGGCTTCTTAACCACCACACCAGATGCTTACCCCTCAAGTTATTTTTAATCAGTAAAGGAAATACAATCACAGAGGCCAGCACTGTGGCATAGCAGGTGAAGCTGCCGTCTGCAGCCCTGCATCCTATCTGGATTCTGGTTCAACTCCCAGCTGTTCCACTTCCAATCCAATGCCCTGCTAATGAGCCTGAAGACAGACCAAGTCCTTGGGCCTCTGCACCCTCATGGGAGACCCAGAAAAAGTTCCTGGTTCCTGGCTTCAGAACAGCCCAGCTCTGCCCATTGCAGCCATTTGGGGAGTAAACCCACAGACGGAAAATCTATCTGTCTCTCTCTGTCTCTCTCTCTATCTCTGTCTCTCTCTGTCTCTGTCTCTCTGTCTCTCTCTCTGTCTCTCCCCTCCCAACTCTGCCTTTCAAATAAACAAATAAATATTTTAAAAATAAGTAAATTCTAAAGGAGAGAGAGACACTTTGGCAAGAGTGCAGGTTTCTGTCCAAACATGAATGGGAGTCAAATTATAAAATCTTGTAATAAGAAAAACATTGGGGGAAGCAGGAGAGAATGTATGTTCTACTCTAACGCCCGTTACAGGCTAAAGTCATGCATTGTTTTACAGACGCAGGTATCGCGGTTTCCATTCCTGAAGCATCAACACGGTCTGAAAGAGTCAGGGGCACAGGTGCTTGGCAGGTAGCGAGGAAGACTTTGGTGAAGTAAGCAGAGCGTGGTCCACCTCCATCTCTGAGGGGAAAGCCAGGCGCAGCCTCAGACATGGGTGGCAGTGAGTCCCAGTGGGACACAGTCGTGGGTGGAAATAAAAAGTTACTAGAGACTGACAGGCTGTGTTGAACTTTCCTCTCCTGGCCGTCTACCATCTCTGTACCTAGGCGTTGGGCTTTACACTGTTTTCTTAACGACACAGCCAGCTCTGCTGAGAGCCGTGTCCCTGTGTCTGTGCCCCAGTTTGCCAGTCCGCACCACTGGAACACCCACCACTCAAGTGTACAAACTGTGTCCGTGGACTTGATTATTTGAAACAACTCAGACAACAGTGTCCAGCTAATAAAGGTGTGAAAGGGCAGTGTGCTGCCTTAGGCTCCCTTACGCACGGCTGTGTTCACAACAGCATCAGGTTGAATGGAAGGCAATGGCCGTGGCCTCCACCAAGGTGTGGGTCAGAGACTTCATTACCAGGGACTCAGGCTCTCCGTGACTGACTTCCTGTCTCTCCTCGGAGCTCCTGTCTCACTGGAAGCTCTGTGCTTTGCTTATTCCGTTCCCAAAATGCACAAGGCTCATTTCTACCTCTCAGAAGTTAAACACAGCACTTCCTTTCCTTTTCTGGGTCATGTCTAGGTAGCCTGCAAAACTCAGCCAGCACTCACACCTGTGGGAGGCCTCCCATGAGCCAGTGTTTTCCCTCCACTGCAAGGTCACACAGTGCTGCGCAGGTCACACACAGTGCTGCGCAGGTCACACACAGTGCTGCGCAGGTCACACACAGTGCTGCCCAGGTCACACACAGTTTTTCCACAGCCCCTGTGTCCTGCATCTGTGGGATCCGGTGACAGCCGATTGCTGCCCCTCCCCAAGGACCACCCAACCATGGAGTCCCCGATGGTGCGGCCACCAAAGTGTCTGCCACACAGCAGGTTTAGGATCACATTTTTCAGACCTTTACTTTGGGTCATTCTTGCCACTAAAGCCTTCCTCTCTGGGAATTTGTTCCTAGTTTTCACCGATTTAAACTCTAGAACACAGCACACACGGAGCAATCCACCAAGGAAACTCTGTTCATCCATTCTGCTCTTCACCGTCTTGTGCGTGATTGCATGATTTTTCACCTAGATTTACTGAGGACTGAGGCTTATCCAGGACCTAACCCATGGCTCTACAGAGGAAAACCCAGCGCGTGCTCTGTGTGCATCCATCCCGCCAGTGCTGCGGACCCAGGGCGCCAGCACGTGCTCCGGGTCGTCCCCTCCCCTCTCCCAATCACGTTCCTAGGTCTTGAGCAAAGCCAGCCACACGTGTCTGCACTCTTGAAACAACTCAGGGCTGCTGGCTGGACTGAGGTGCATCGGTGGTGCGCATGAAATGGATCTTCCCTCTGCCTTAAGTTAGTTCATGCACAACTTGGTCTTCTCAGCCCAATACGTTCCTAAAATGTGAGTCACGCATGAAAAATTTAGACTCTGCAATTAAAAAAACTTCCAATAAAATAACTGCGGAAATATTGACTATATAAGAACCAATAGGGGCCAGCATTACGGGGCCATGCATGAAGCTGCTGCCTGCTGATGGCCTGGGAAAGTGGCAGAAGATGGCCAAGTGCCGGGGCCCTGCACCCACACGGGAGACCTGGAGGAGGCGCCTGGCTTCTGCCCGATCCAGCTCCAGCCATTGCAGCCATCTGGGGAGTGAACCAGTGGATGGAAGATCTCTCTCCCTCTCTCTCTCCCTCTCTCACTCTCTCCTTCTCTCTCTCGCTCTCGCTCTCTCTGTCACTCGCTCTCTGTCAATAACATTGCATTTCAAGTGAAATAAATAAATCTTAAAGAAACTGATCAATGAGATAAGTGGTGTTCATCCAGTACACATTCAGTGTGCATCCACGATCTGCCAGGCACTAGAATAAGAACTGATGAACTTCTGGTCCGGGGACAATGACACACACTGAGGTTTCCCAGCGCCAGGCAGTGCCGTGCGTGCTTCCTGTGCACGGGCATCGCAACTACCCTCTGATGACACTGAGGCATGAGGCCACACTCAGGCTGCTCTGTACAGCTAGTGTCAAATCCAGATGTCTCAGTCCGGAAGAAACGTGTTGAATTCTTGCTCAGGGCTCTGGCCCAGCACAGCCCAACATGGCAGAGGACCCCTGTGAAGAGGACCCGGCCGGCTGAGAGCGGGCTGGGAGTGGGGAGAAGGAGAAGGAGAAGGGGACGTCCTTCATGCTCTTGACTGTTCATGCTCTTGACTCGATGGAGTGATAACTCGGGGGTTTTACTAGAAGCCGGACGTTTGGCCCCTCTGTACTTGAATACCTCCGTAAGTACACATGGAAATGGATTCCCAATAACTACTTATGGTGCTAACTAACATACAATAATCTCCCTTCATCCCCTTCCTTTATGTTTTAGTTACCTGTGGGCAACAATGGCCCACATATACTAATGAGAAATTCCAGAGATGATGTATACGTTAATTTTACTTATTCTCTGTGCTGTGTCATCATCTTTATTATTTATTAAATTTGAAAGGCAGTGGGGGGGCAGACAGGGCTCCTCCATCTGCTGATTCAGTCCTCAAAAGCCCACAGCAGCTCAGCCAGGTGGAAGCTAGAGCTTGGAATTCAATCTGCGTCTCCCACGTGGATGTCAGACTCAGGCACTTGAGTCATTGCCTGCCGCCTCCCAGGGGGATCCCCAGCAGGAAGCTGGAGTCAGAAGCAGAGTGGGACTCAGATGCAGTCCCGCCAGTGCAGCATGCAGATGTCCCAAGTGTGGCTTCACTGAGCAAATGCCTGTCCCGTTCCCAAAGTCGGGGCCCGCACTGTGGCCTGTGACACCAGCATCCCCTATAGACGCCGGTTCAAGACCCGACAACTCCACTTCTGATCCAGCTCCCTGTTAATATGCCTGGGGAACAGCGGAGGATGGACCAAATCCTTGGGCCTCTACCACCCACGTGAGAGACCTGGATGAAGCTCTTGGCTCCTGGCCTTGGCCTGGCCCAGCCTAGCCATTACAGCCATTGGGGGAATGAACCAGCAGATGGAAGATCTCTCTTTCTGCCTCTCTCTCTCCCTCTCTACCTCTCCAACTCTGCCTTTCAAACAAATAAAAAATAAATCTTTAAGTACTCAGGGGCAGCTGAGAGACAGGAGGGCTGGCATTCACACAACTGCCTACGCAGTTTGTCCTTACAATTGTTGTGTCCATACACACATTAGTCATGGCTGAGGATCTCTTAGTGTGCTTGTTCTTTACGATAGGGCTGTGTGGGGTGAAGCAGTGTCGGGCTCGGTGTCATCTGTGGTTTCCGAGTGCACTGAGGGTCTTGGAAGGCACCCTTGTGGGTGCAGGGAGGCCACGGGCCACCACTTTGGGGACCCTCCTCTTTCACAGGGCCGTCGGACATCTGCTGGAGGAGCTGAGCCCCAGGCCATAGGCAGAGGTTACAGGGGCATCAGCCAGAGTCTCAGTGCACTGGCCACCATCCCCCCGCCCCCACTTTCCTAAGGTGAGCTGGGCTCACTTGGTTAATCCTCCGCCTGCAGTGCCAGAATCCATATGGGCACCGGGTACTAGTCCCGGTTGCTCCTCTTTCAGTCCAGCTCTATGCTGTTGCCCGGGAAGGCAGTGGAGGTTGGCCCAAGTGCTTGGGCATCTGCACCCGCATGGGAGACCAGGAGGAAGCACCTGGCTCCTGGCTTTGGATAGGCTCAGCACCTGTCGTGGCGGTCATTTGGGAGGTGAACCAACGGAATGAAGACCTTTCTGTGTGTCTCTCTCTCTCTAACTCTGCCTGTCGAGTTGAAAGAAAGAAAGAGAGAGAGAGAAAAGAGAAAGAAAGAGAAAAAGAAAGAGAAAGAAAGAAAAAGAAAGGAAGAAAATTGACTTTCAAATACATAAATACTTTTTTAAATGAAAGAAAAGAAAAAGAAAACCTCCAAGATGCAACCAGAAGGACTTGTGCTGACAGGGACTGGTGACAGCTGCCGGAGGCCCCAACCACACGGTGCCCCCAGCTGTGTGTGCCCTGCAGGGGCTCATTTGATGTTGTCTAAAGATGCTGCCCTTTGGGGGGCTGAGGTAAAGCTGAGCCAAGGACAAGGGGCTGGGGCAGGGAGACCTCTGTCACGGTCTGGAGGGACAGAGCCCTGGCAGGAGGGTGTCGCTCCCCGTCTTCGTGGAGGAACGACACAGGACCCTGCGCTGTTCTTTTATCTGCTCGGCCCTCCCCGGGTTTGCTGCTGGTTCTTCCCGGGTTGGCTACCGACCCTTCCACCTCCGTGGAAGGGCGGTTCCCCCTAGCCACTTTCTCCACTTCCGCGGGGGAGCGGCACACCGCCGGCCGGCTCTCTCGGGGGCTGCTCAGATGTTCCTCAGGTGTTCCTTCAGATAGATGTTCCTGGTGCATCTTGTCTCTCTCCTCCTTTATAGTCCTCTTCCACCAATCCCAACTCTGCTACCCACACGCCGAGTACGCTGCTCCCCTCCAATCAGGAGTAGGTCCTACAGTTTATTGGTTGAACTGGAGGCAGCTGTGTAGAAGCTGTTTCTCCCTTCTCAGCGCCATATTGTGGGAGAGCAGATGCATAGAATAAGTCTTAATTCCAGTAACTTAGTCTAGTCTCAGTTGCTCCCCACAGGAGGGGACCCCCAGGGAGCAGAAGCCAGCCCTGGCCCAGGCACAGAGTCTGTCCCTTCTGCATTTTTTCCCCTTTGTCCTCCCTGCACCTGGACACTCTGTTAACACCCAGTCTGGATACAGTTGCACTTGGGGCAATTGAAGCAATGGCCCTGGGCTGGGCCATCCTCTTAAAGCCAGCTGGGGTGGCCGCAGAGCTCTCTAGTGATGGCCAAGGGGAGCAGAGTCCTGGGTGACAGCTGAGACACGGCCATACAGGCACCTCCCCTCAACCACGGCATGGGCTAACCCTGGAGAACGGGGGTCTGAGTTGAGGCCAAGGCCATCAGTGAATGGATGTCTCTGCAGTCAGGGAGAGGGAACAAGGCAGAAGTGAGCCTGAGAGGTCGCATTACCCCAGGATGTGGTTTACTCCCCTTCTTCCCGGGCAAGGCTCTCCCCCGACCCCCACCAGCTTATT